ACATGCTTCGAATTAAAAGAAGGATTGAAATTTTGCAATCTCAAACAGTATGGACTATGAATACTGCCCTCTGTAGTTATAATCTTGTAAACATTTACCTGGGTTGCCCTACTGAGGGATGCTGGTATCAATATTCCTTCATCGTACAACGGTACGTCTCTGCTTGAAATGTAAAATGGTTGCCATGGATATCTGAATTCAACTTCATAGGAAGAATCTAGAGTATTTGTAGCAGAAGGCTGTTGAGATGAAGAAAAAAAACATGAATAAATATCAGTTCTCGTCTTGGTATCCTGTGTTTGTTGTGTGTACTGCATATTTAAAGGGCGGTGGTTGTCGCGCAGTGCGTGTGTACGCAATGTGTACATTGCTATGAGTCCCATATCGAACTGGATGCGTAGCGATGACCACCACCCTTTAACTAGGTAAGTTGTGCGATACAGTCTAGCTATTCTAAAATTACATGTGGTTGAAAGGTGACTAGAAGATGATAATGGTAATATAGAATTAGCCCTCTTCTGTCCCTCAAAATCTCAGATCAAGAAATCAATACCTGAAATACAATTGCTATATTTATCAATGCATCGGGCTGAAAATGTATGTCAGCAAATTGTGACTTTTTTTGAATGCTATAGACGTTTTTCAATAAACATGTGGTTATTATTGAAAATTTCATCATTATGAAACAGTGATATAGTCCCTGTCTTGTTGATTGTAAAAGTCAAGATTTAATGAAACTGGAATTGGCATATCTGTATATGGCAGGCTTCATACCCTTGGATAGGTTTAATATATTGGCAGCTGGTGTAGTTGGGTGGGGTGGGTATATTGCACACATGAAACTAATGGTTATGAAATATCAAACTACCATTTGTCCTGATATCTGGAATTTAATTTTGCTGAAAACCATAAACTGGATTGACACGAGAGTTTTTTTTTAAACTAATTGCTTTTAAGTACATGTAAATCATACAAAAAGTAATTCACTGGTTCTCACTTTCCCTGATATACTCATTCAGTGAAACGTATTACAAGTAAAAATAAAGTATTCTACAATACTACGAAATCATATGAACAAGTATTTGCCCCAAAATACCAACACAATTATCTTGCTATGAGTTGGATTTGAAATTGTAGAGTGGAAAATCTAATCTATGGTTGTAAAATACTGGCATCCTAATAAATGTGGCACCTTCTAGTAACCCAGAGTCTGGGTTACCTGAATACCATAAGTCAGGTAAGTCAGGAAGGTTAAGTATTTTAAACAAATATTTATAAACTCCAATGACAGGTACTCATTGTATGGGTGTATGCAGTAACTGTTTTAACCCTTAATTTTAATATGCAAGAGCACTTCACAGAATGGAGGGAGGCACCTTGCCTAACCAATCCCATTGTTGGGTTTACATACATGTAATTAGTTTACAAGTATATGCTTTACCTGACTTTGGTGTATTTGGTATTACTGGTATAAGAACCTAATTATTTGATTTTATCTAAAAACCACACTGCTTCATTTGCTACATTGTGATCTAAAAGCTTTCTCACATTCAGCTCCAACAGTACAGTCTACCAGTCACTGAGTTGCCAAATTTAGACTCACCTCTACCATAGACCTTAGAAAGGAGGTCCATGCCTCTATATAATATGATTCTGTCACTATTGATTGATTGATTACAGAGTTGTACTGAACTTATGCCGTATTTGCACTTTTATCTAAAATACGAGTGCATATAAACCCAAAATTACATTTGTTGTACTATGAACCATCATAAAATATGATCAATATAATTCAATGGCTAAGCAGACATTACCATTGTCTCCATGTCTGGACTTCTTGGACAGAAACGGGGGGAAGGGGGTCATTGGGTTAGTTTGCTGGTTCATCTTTTCTACTTACAAAGAGTCAAACCAGGTATTTGAATTCTAGATCTGTCCCAGCATTGTACAATATTTAGATATAATTTGTGAGATTGTCACAAAAGTTGACAATGATAAACAAAAGGCTAAACTAACCAATATTTGTCTCCATTTGGTGTAGTTGCCATGGTTATGGCACGATCTGCACATTGCATAACGATAGGGTCTAATCAGATCTTTGCCTTCTCGCCAAAGATCTAATACCTCCGATTTGTATTTTGGAGTCTCATGTACATCATCATCACAAATCTCAAAATCTGGCAAGATGTAAACATTCTGTATTGCGGCATCGTCTTCTATTGCATCTGTGAACAGTTTAAAATTCTTCAATAGATTTGCATTTGGCATCAGATCAACATTTAGTGTTAAAATGTACTTTGTGATACTGCCTTTGAGAGCTTCATTTTGCAGAATATTTATCGGGTATGCCGGATTGTCATCAGAGGAATAGCTTTCGTCCTCTAGGTTTCGTGTCACGTGTAAAACCATACCGCATGGAACTTTCAGGATTGTTTCATCATTGGAAATTTCAGCTTTGCCGGGTGCAATGGTTGTAACAAGATGAAACGTCACATGTTGTTTGACCAAAGGAAAACAACGTCTCAGATTGGACACACTACTCGCAAACAATGAAATATCTGTCGAAAACACAGCTACCGAAATCGGTCCCTCCCATCTCTCCGCCATTCCTACCAAGTGATGGAGATCACTAACAGAACTATGGGTTACTATGGTAACATCATCTTCAGCTACTTTATCCCAGACGAGAGCTTCGCTAGCAACGAAGAACTTACGCGTTCGAAATTGGCCACTGGAATCCACTTCTGACCGTGCACCATATTTTTTTAAAGTATGCGTTTTCCCGTGTATATGTCGTGCATGTTGAGACCTCGGTAGAAAATAAACGTTCACAACTTGTCTGATCACAAGCAATGAAAATAAAATGAAGATTGTTTTCTTCACAGAGCATCGGCGCGAAAATAGCTGCGTTAACATTCGAATAATCATGATCCACATATATTAAATATATTTTAGCGGTAGACAGTCAACCCATTTCCTTTTGAAATCCCCGCTGAAATGATTAAAGTTACAAATTCCTTCGCAGCTGGATTGTGTATATAACGTGAAACGATTTTTTTACTTCCGCGTTTTCTGCGCAAGCGCAGCGGGTATCTCGTACATTTTGGATTAATACAAACATATTATATATTGAATATAAAATAGAGTGCACTATATTCTGAAAAAGAAATAAAAATACACATATTTAAAAGAATACTTGCAAACTTGAAAAACTCTTGACAAACGTAATTTTAACTGTGAATTTTTACATGTAACACTTTTGAGTTTCTTTTATTAATCCAGGACGATTTGAGTGACGTCACTCACAACTACCGAGAAGATGGCGGTGATGTTTGTTGGTGAAGAGTATTCGACTATTTTCTCGTGATTGTGAGGGTGAATGTAATAGAATATGCAATACCGAAATTTTGAATAGATCTTTTAGAACACTAAGATTCTTTCCGACCAGTTTTAGTACATTTTAAATTGTTTTTTGATCAGCAATCGGAATTTCGGAAGTAAACAAATGATTTTAAGACGAAGTCCTTTCACTTCCTGTGGCGTCCTGAAGACAGTTTTTCCGTTTATACTCGTTTGTTTTTCTTGTCATCGATGTGACAGCCAGTACTTTGAAGGTAAGTATGTTACATTATTAATTAAAGTTAATTTCTTTTAATTATTGTTCTTGGTCGTATATTGTTGTAAGTTGCACTGTCTATCTCGGGTCGACAGTTACGTAATTGTGATTACCGGGGTAATTTATTTTGCCTATTCACTTTCAGAACACTAATACTAACTTTAACCCGACCCCCTACCCTTTATTGCACCTCAAATTAATTGTAATAATAATAATAATAATAATAATAATAAACTTTATTGATA